CCCTTCCGACCCTAGAAACTATGAAACTATGACTTACAGAAATGGTGCTGTGTAAATACTAGAGATTACATTCTATCCAAGGGGGAGAATTTGCCTTCTCAAAAGTAAGTAGGTTTGTAAAAAAGATGGACTGTTTTTGGTGGGTTTTTTTTTTTATTTTGCTTATGGGAAAAATGCTAAGTATTTTCTAAAACTTGTAATATTATAAACAGCCCACCCACACACTCTTAAAGTATCAGCTGTTGCAGCTTTTTCTGATACTAAAACACAAGTTTCCTTTCCATTCTGATCAGAAAAGTAAGCAGAAATAAGAGTTCTTTAGTTCTTGCTAGTTGGAGTAGCGCTAGCTTTTAATTTGTTCCTCTTTTTGCTTATTTTATGTAAGCTTTTTTCAAACAAATTGACCTTTTCAGTGGTTGGGTTTCTATCATGTCCTGTAATGTACAAATAGCCACCTCCTCTCTTGCAGACTACTTTTAAATGTGGTTTTATCAAGTCCTGAGACCAGCTGTCTAGTTTGCTCAACTATATTGTTTCAGAAATTCTGAGTAACCCCCTGGAAGAGTTTGCTGCAAAATTTAAGCAACTATGCGTAAACAAGCAAATCCTTTTAAAAATTGGGACTGTTCAACCCAAACACAAACAATTCCCAAGAAGTGGGCCAGTTCACATTTGCTTACAATCATCTCCAGTACTTTGTAAGTACTGTGCTCCCAGAAGAGATCCAGGATCCTGACTTTATAGCAGCAAGAATGAGATGGATTTGCCCTAACATTAGATGCTCTCTGTTGTCTTTAAAAGTTAAGAACTTGCTGTAATTTAGGAAGTCTAGTCTTTGAACTTCCAAAATTTAAGATGCTGACAGTTTGCCACTTAGCAATGATATTTTTTTTCTCTCTGTCTTTTTTTTTTTTTTTTATGAGCATGGAGAGAGAGTCTCTTGATATTCTGGCTCCGCTTCAAATTGGGCAATATCTTGCTTACCCAAAACTGGAGAAGCCTGTTCTCTTCTATATCATGGTGAGCAGCTATTCTAATTTAAAATGGCTGCCCTTTTCATTCACCAGTGATGAAGAAAGCAAACTCTTTGCATAGCTAAATATTTTGAGGTTCTCCTGGCTGAAATGCATTACCTCTGCATGAATATAAAATTGTTACTTTATCGGGGAATATAGCTTAAGAGAATTTCTTGAAATAAGAACATGCTTGAGAATTGCAGGGAATTGTTAACAAAGAAATGTTTGAGCAAATTAAGGGCTTAATGGACACCGTTTGGGGCCTTTTGTATGCGGTCTGGAATTAAGTGGTGAAGTTGTACCTGACTTGAGAACCCCCGTTTTTACCCCATTAAGAGCTGTGCATCAAAACTCTTAAACTGCTTGACTTTGCTTGGCTCTAATCAGGGCTGAGGTTTCCGTATATCTTAAATTTATTTAATAATATAGCACATTCTTTCTTTTTTTTAATATCAGAAGCAACTTGCTGCTAGAATGTAATAGTTTTTTTTCCCCCCCCATAGCAGAGCCCCCCTCCCCCAAGGAGTACAAAAGAAAACAAATGGGCAACATTTTTTCTTTGTGGGAACAATATCTGCTTTGTAAATAGCTGACAGTTTATGGCTGTTTGACTTGATCTGTCATGAAATAGGGAACTGTTAGATCTCTCTGTAAATAAAAAAGGAGAGAAGTGTAAATGGAACCGAAGTGAAGTAGCAGTTTAAAATACCAACAAATTTTGTTTCTGTTTTGTTTTTCTTCCCGGATGGTAGAAAAGTGCTTTGTGCTCAGACCGAGTAAGCTACACTGCTTATGAATTCCATCGGGCAGTTAGTTGTTCTTTCTCTCTAAACTGCGTATATTTAGCATTTAACAATGAGAGTTGCCACATCAGAAAACTATTCAAATTAGCTCATATTAAATTAAGTTGAACCTTTTAAAAACATGTTTTAGTCTCTTTTTACATGACTTGGTATAAAGTAAATCTTTGATTTAAAAGTTCATGAATGTATTATTGACCAATATCTGGAATCAGATAAAAGTAAAGCTGTAATAAGAGGCTTTAGATAACCAACACATGAGCTTTAATGATTCTGTACAAAATAAAAGGGATTTGTAAAAGAGAAGCTGATTACCATCAATAATGCTCAAACACTATT